TTTATGTAACCCACAGCAGCGGCAGTTTTTTGTCGGGTTAATTTCGAAGAGTGATTCATTAAGTGTGAAGTTGGATGCGTATTTACTGGCTAACCTTATCTGTGCTATGGTTCTTATTGTTATCATTGACTGGATGCAGAAGTAGGCGGGTCGATCGTTTTCAACGTGTCTAAAAATCTTTAACTGTGCATAGTGTGACTTTTTGTAGTTATTATAGTCCTCCAGCATTAAACTATCCTTGTACTTCATAAATATAATCTTTTCACGCTTTTTCCAGTCATCCACATTGTATGTATCAATCAGGTTCTCATTACCTGTGCTTGTCAAAAAGCTTTTGAGTTGAAGGGCCCAGTTGTACTCTATACTTGTGTTGCAGCTCTGGACAAGGGCAATAAGTCTCTTCAGACACACTTTTGGTAGATAGCTGTCATTCGATTCGAGTATTTTGATATACCAGTTCCAAACATTCTTCATTGCTTGGTATTTCAGTGGCAAAATGTTCAGTTCCATTCTGATGGCCCACGCAGGTATACATCTGGGCAGATGCAGTGCTTCCTTGAAGAATTCAGTCTGGATCTTTTCTAGCAGGTCACCGTAGTTTATTCCCCAAGCAGGAAAAGCGTACAGTGCAATGGATGTTACCATACTATGATAGAGTTCCATATGTGCATTCCAGCATTGACAGTTGGATCTGTAGAGAATACCAAGGCTAATTGATGTTGCTGTATTGGCTTTAGTTAAGACTGCTTGAACTGTTGAGCGACCTAATCCCGCTGAAGTAAGTAATATTCCAAGATAGTTGTAGTTTTTCACAACTTCTATCTCTGAGTTGTCATAGATTCTGAACTGAGGACTGATCCTCTTGACTCTGCCACTTCTGGTGAAAGCCATGATTTTTGTCTTACTTTTGTTAACTATGAGACCTTTCTTATTGCAGTATTTCATCAGTGAGTTAAGTTTTTTCCTTAGGTCTGTTAGAGATTTTGCTAGAATAACAATATCATCAGCAAATAGCAGTAGTAGAAGATCAGTTACGCCATCAATATTTAGACCTTCAAGTTTCTCTTTTCTAAAATATTCCTCGAAGTCGCTTATATATAGAATAAACAGCAGAGCACTTAAGGACTCGCCTTGCAGGACTCCCTCTGTGACATCAAATTTTTCTGATTGATTATTTCCAATTTTGACCCGTACATTTGCACGGTCATATAGATACTTTAGTATATTGATGAACTTCGTACTCACTTTCAAACTCTCAAGCTTCTCCCACAGAAGGTGGTGCGGAATGAGATCAAATGCCTTCTTGAAGTCTACAAATATTGCAAATACTTCTCTTCCCTTGAGCCTTAGCTGCAGATGTAGAGTCGATATGAGGGTAAAGATGGCATCCGTGCAGCTTCTATTTGCCCTAAATCCAAATTGTGACTCCGGTAAAAACTTATTGTCGGATACAAATTTTTCCAACCTTTTTTTGAGGATACAAGTGAAGATTTTTGTGAGATGGTCGACTAGTGCTATTCCTCTATAATTTTCAGGATTTTTCGCGTCTCCTTTTTTATATATCATAGTAAGTATAATATTTGACCACTTGTCCGGACATGACTCTGTTTTTAAGATTAGATTGAACAAGTCTAAGAGATAAAGCTTCCAATTTGCTGGAAGCATTTTAAAAATCTCATTGGGCATTTGATCTTGGCCTACTGCTTTGCCATTTTTGAGCTTGTTTATTGTTGCTTCGAGCTCTGCCAAGGTGATTTCAGCGTCCAGTGTTTCGTCTTCTACGTGGGTAGCAGGTGCTTCAACAGGTAATCTCTCTGGGTAGGTCTTCCTGTAGTATTCATTCCATTCGTCTATTCCAGGCGATATAACTGCACTAATGTTTGGCTTATACATTTTGATGGTAGCCCAAAATTTTTTGGCATCTGTGACATTGCTGAAGGACTTAGCTACTTCTCTATTGAAATTGGCTTTCTTTTCCTTCACTAATTTTTTAAATCGTTTTTTGTGTGCAACATAGTTAATTTTGTCTTCTTCTGTAAAGTTCGTAATAAAGCATTTCTTGAGGAGTTTCACTAGAATTCTTTTTTCATTCATACACTGTTTGTCGAACCATCGCTGCTTTATGTCTCCCGTGTGTGCTTGTGCATCCTCCAGTACTCCACAGTTATAGGCTGCTTCCTTTATTTTTGTCATCAGAGCTTCATATTGTTCCTGAACATTATTGCTATTTATTTTGGTATAGTCGTTGGGCATATGGCTTAGTTCACTCACCAGCTTTTCCACCGATGCCACATTATCAAATCTCCACTTGCTCTTTTTACAGATCATGCCTGCCGTATGGTATTGATTTGATTTATATGGCTCGTTACTGTATAGTGTGAGCTTAATTGGGAAGTGGTCCGAGTCTATTATATCATTAATAACCTCAAGGTCATGTATTGAGCCTAGGTGTTCTATTTTGACCCATATAAGGTCTATTATACTGGAGCCACTTGCACTGCAAAAGGTGGGCTTAGCTGGCCTATCTTTTGTAGTTCTACCATTCATTAATGCAAAGCCATTTGTATTCATAAAACTCTTCAGTGCGGTACCTCTTGCGTTACCTTTTTTGTCTGCAAAATAAATGTCGTGCGAGCATACAGTGCCATCAAACGCTTCTTCAGGTGCGTAATCATCTCCACCAACCCATGCATTAAAGTCTCCTCCTAAAACAAATATATTATTCTGATTGTTCAATTCAATTTCATCTATCACAATTTGCAGTTCCTTAAGGAACGATTCAATATTACTTGCTGGCTTTGAATAAATATTACCTATTATTAAAATCTTATTTGTTAACTTAAATTTTGTGAAAATCCACGATGCTGAGGTACAGATAGTCTCCATGCATGTCTTGGACATTGTTGCAAGACCACCGCTTGGTCTCCCAAAGAGTCCTTTTTTCTCTGCGTTACTCCAGCAGCATTTGTATTCCGGGTGGTTGTTTGCAGGTTGGGTACTCAGCCAGGTTTCTGATAGACATATTATATCGGCGTTTTTGGTTAAAGTATTTGCTTTAGCTTTGGTGTAGCCGTGCATATTCCACATTATGATTTCTATGAGGTTTGGAGTGTGGACGTTGCCCCATTTTTTGGAAATTTTTTGACACTGTGGTCTTTGTCTTTGACTATATTATTCTTTTTTCCATCCCAAATCCAAACACAGTCGTTTACCGTAACCTTTCTGTAACCAATTTTGACTTTACTGTTATCTTTTCTCTCTTGTCTCGCGCAGTCTCTAATTTTCTTCTGTATATCTTGCTCCTCTCTGGTGTAGTCATTGTCTATATACACTGCAGATTTCTCCAACTTGAGCTTTTTGCTTCTCATTACGCTATGTTTATTGTCTTCCGAGTTTAGCTTTACTCTAAGCACATTCTTGTTTCTGCCTATTAAGTTTACTTCTACAACATCTCTCTCATTTATGCCAAATTTTTGCCCCAGGAACTTTTTTGTAGTTCTCATTTCTTCTCCAGTTTCAACACTGAGTCCTCTTATGATGATGTTATTTCTTATTGCAATTCTTTTCTGCATCTCAAGTGTATGTTCGATTCTTGAAATTTTTTCCTGCATGTTTCCTAGGCTATCACAGTTGCTATTGATACAGAATTGGTCAACCTGTGTTTTGAAATTCTCCAATCCTTTTTCAATTGTGTTTATCTTTTCTTCAAGATGTGCTTTATCCTTATTCTTTTCTTCCTCCAGTTTTTTGATAGAGCTCTTAAGGCCACTTATCTCTTTTCTTAGAGCTGATGCGTTTTTTTCTATTTCGTTTTTGATTGAGTCACCTAGATCTGCCGTCTCTTTGCGCATTTTCCTGAGCTCAGCCATTACATCTGTTATTGAGTCACCATTCCCACCTCCAGCGTTATTATGGTCTTCGCCTTCTTGCGAGGAAGTACCAAAATTGAAAATTCCGTTGTTTTTAGCCATTATGTATTTTTTGAAGTCAAAGTACTTGTTTGGTTGATGTTGCTTGGTTTTGTCTTTGTCTTTTTTTACTTCTTTACCTTGCTTGACTTTTCTTCTCTTTCTCTTGGGCTTTTTTTCTGTAAGAGAATCTTTCCTTGGACGCCCTCTTTTTCTAGAACCCGCCTGCTCTTTGTTTTTCGGTGTCTGGTCGGTTGGATTCCTCACTGTATTCTCTTCTGTCGATAGAGTCGCAGTCTCTGAATCGTCGCTTTCTCCGTTTATCCTTACTTCTTCGCCAGATGTCTCTACTTTGTCTTCTTTAGCCGTTTTGTCGTGGTTCATACTATTAGGCTTATAGTGAGATATAAACCTAACCTATAATTTCTCGACAAAGGTTTAAGAGCTCTTTTTTAACTTACTTGTCTTCGAAAAGGCTTCAAATTAAATCTCACCAGTAAAGGACAACTTTTAACTTCTATTTTAGCTAGTACACGTAATTTATTACTAATTTATTTTTCACCTTTTTTGGGAAAAATCAGGGATCGTTTTAGCAGCACGTTCACTTCGTTTCGTAGCACACCAGCGCCCCCGGAATATCATTAGATAGTTGGCACAGTTATTTCTCTGAGCTATATCCACAGAGATAATTGTATCTTTCTCATTACTAACTAGACGACACGATCAATTAGATAAAAAAATTCACGTTTGATAAACTTAAAAATAGCATCAAAAAATGTAAGGCAGCGAACGCACCAAGCTAAGACAAAAATAGTAATTAATTTTTGAAAGAGATTCTGGCTCTATACTCTCCTAGTTTTCTTCAACAAAATTTTTGAGTCCGAATCTATCCCTGGAGACTGTGTTAAAATAATCGCTTTTATGCTGCATAAGAAAGGAGACACTTTTGAGCCATCTAACTACAGAAGCATTATCCTGGCCAACTGTATAGTTAAAACATTCACGCAGATTATACATGACCACCTGAGAAATTGAGTGGTTAAACAGGAAGTGATTCCCGAGAAAAAAGCAGGTTTCTGTGAGGGAAAAGGTTGCACAGATAATGTCCTCTTGCTTCAGTTAACTCTTCAACTACAATTCCGCTTTTCAGATACCACAGCATATATTCTCTTCATTGACTTTCGACGTGCTTTCGACTATGTACTGCAAGACAAACTCTATATGAAGTTATTAAATCTAGGATAGAGCACGAAGTACATTAGATTTTTCAAGAGCTTTTATGATAAAGTGGTCGTGTGCATTAAAAAGGACTCACAGTATTCAGAGCCTATAGAAATCACCGCAGGCGTCTTGAAGGGGGAGATACTTAGCTCTTAAATTTTTCTTATTTACCTTATTTATCTCTGACTTGATTACCGTCTTCAAAGAGAGTGACTGGATGGATTCAGCCTCGAAGGTTCAAGGGATATCTAAATGCTGCTGTATGCCGATTACATCGCTTTACTAGCCAGAAATGCAGCTGATTTCAAAAACGAACTCCGTCTGCTTGAAAAGTACTGTTCAGACAATGGTCTTGTTGTAAATGTCCGGAAGTCTAAAGTAATGGCTTGCCATACATCTTGCAGAATTAGAAAAGTGGATAAAAACTTCTAGTACTGTGGAAACGAACTGGAAGTCTTAAAGTCTTACGTCTACTTAGGCGTCCCTTTTAGTAGTAATCTTCGAGGAGACTTGGCGGCTTCAGAATTCTTAAAAAAAGAACGACGAGCAGCGTGTACTGTACTCTCTATTCTTGCTAATCTAAAAGCTAGCTCCTGGCTTGTTAAGAAAAAAGATTACACTACTTAAGTCAACACTACTTTACCTCGTACACATTTGGGGACTTGGACCTGAATACCACGAAAAGCTGCAAATTGCCAACCTCTAATTTTTTTAGAAGACTCTTCTATCTTCCATGAACTACGCCTCATTTTGTGCTCCGTCTATAACTGAAAATTCACTACATCTCAATCGGTATTCTCAACTAAGCCTGAAACTGGATAATTAAAATTTTAGAGAAACCAAATACTCGTCTTCCAAAAAGTTGTTTTCTGCCCTTGACGGAGCTAAATCCAAGTCATGAACATCTGAACCGGATAAAACAACTCAAAGTTATGCTCAGTCAAATTCAAGGAGAGTTTGCTCTCGAAAATTTAACTGTGGAGTATTGGAAGAAGAATTAAGCCAGGTCATTTGATAAATACAGGCCTTTCGTGATTTAACAAAGATTTAAATAGATATGCTGAAACTCGCTCTTGCCAAGTGGCTTTACCCCGGACTTGCTACGATTCAGTTTCCGATTACCTGCACAATGGCTCACACCAGCTAATTACCCTGAAAATCTAACTCATACTGGCAAACTTCTTCTCATGTAAACTTATAGTGAATGGAAGATCACTAAATCTAAGGCCTAGACTCCAGTGTCGCTACTACTCCAACCTTGAAGGGGAGACAATTGCTCACTTCTTATTAAATTGCCCAAGATTTACAACACCTCGACAACATTTTTTCCAACCACAGGCCGACGCTAGTGAAATGTTGAACATTCTAATTCTCCTTGTTGATCATTCACCCAGCCGCTCCCAAAAATACGTGAAAAAATATTCTGATCAGACTTGATATGTCCTGACATGGCAATATCAAAATTTTTGATATAATCATATCAGGCCTGATATAATCTGATATGTCCATGTATAATTTTTGATAGGTCCTGATATAACCTGATATGACCTGATAGGCAAATTGGCCATATCAGGCCTGATAAAGCTTGATCAGGCTTGATATGGCTTGATCTGGTTTGATATAATTTGATCTGGACTGACATAATTTAATATATCTATAGATAATTTATTGATATATTCTAATATGGCTTGATATAATTTGATATGCCCGTTTTCTAATTTTTTGATATGTTCTGATACAATTTTATCAAGCTGGATCTGACTTAATAGTACAAATAAAGCCAAATCTGAGTGATAATTATATTATACAGTCACTAGGTTTTTTAAGTCTAAAAATCGGCAAATTTACATTTTTAAGTTTTTTTAATTAATATATTTTATGGCAGATTTACGGTATAAATTATGAAAAAGATAAAATG